ACTATAAGACGAATCATTCCATAAGAGGGTATTGTATTACTCTTCAAGTAGACTACGTTGTTAAATAATATTTATCAATTCTTTTAATATTAATATAGACCGGAAGGTACTAATATACTTTTTATAACAAAATTAGTCATTAGAATCGTCAATATTTATCAATATTCCTAATATTAATATAAATCGAAATGGAACTAACATACCTGTTATAACAATATTAGTCACAACAAAATGTTCATATTTCGTCATTGTACTAAAAAAATGGTTTTATTATAAAATTAATATAATATTTCAAACAATATATTTATAAAATAAAAAAACTTACAAGATTAGTAAGCATTTTCAAATGCTTCTACTTGTAAAAAATAATTAAATTAATTAAACTAAAATGTTTGATGTATATTTTAACCATATTAAGTTAAGAGATATTGATTACAATGCATTAATTTTGCATTTGAATTAAAAACTCAAATGTAAATTTTTGTCAGTATTATTACTCGTAATCCAGTAATACATCCTTTTGCCAACCTCATTTTCTTCTTACTTCACTCATTCCCACATATTTTCTGTATAATCATCCGTAATAGAAATGTATAATGAAAAAATTATAAACATCAAAATGAAAGACATATATGTATGTGTATATATATTATATATACATATGTTTAAGTTATCCCAAATTACTTTAAGCTATTTTTTTAAATTCTTAACAACAACAAAATTTGTATAAATAAAAAGTAGCAAATGTTCATCGTCCACTAAAACGAAAACCATTTGAATTTAGAGCATTTTAAGAGTATATATTCGGTGCAGACTTGATTTTTAAAAGCTGATTTCATTAGAGAAATATAACATTTTATAGTTTTTATTAGTGTTACCGAAAAAGCTACGCTTTGTTATAATAACAAAGAAGATAATTTTAAAATTTAGAAGGCACGACAAGTGCTTTGGTTAATGTCACTAATTAAATAAAAAAGTGAGAAAAAATTTGGAACTAAAGCACTGAAAGTTTGTACAGCCTTGGCTACTTGTGGATGAACACGCTTCTAATTTGACAGGCACGGGTTCTAAGCCTAAACTAATTAAGAAATTCGACTAATTCCTAAAATCACTGATGATAAGTACTTGGCAATACTCGAAACTCAGCCAAATTTTCAAGAAATTAAATAAATTTTTGTGTTTGTCCTTTCTTTCTTCGCTATTTGAAAACCCTCTAAATACATATTTTATAAATTTTTGAGAGGTATAAAGTTATTTCCAGTAATAATTAAGTTTCAGTTACGCTTATCACAGTATATAAATTTTATTAGAGATTTTTTCATTAACTTAGAAAACCAGAAACTTAGGTCATTACTAAACAAGAAAATTAGAAATACCCAAACGCTTAATAAAGAGATTTTAGCGACCACAAGTTATAAAGTGATTCACTTCCCTCACGACCAAATCAAAATATTTACAAAATTGTTCGTTTACATTAACACAAAAGGACCTTAATTGTTTGCATCACGCAAACACACTTAAAACACTTAACGATATGTGAGGTTAGCTCAACTATTTGCTTACTTGGCAGCACTTAAGAAGGCTGAGCTTACGTACGGGCAGGTGAAAAAGGCAAACAGCAAACGGCAAAAGGCAAAAAGGTATAGTGATGAATATAATGAAAGCAGAACAGCGGGCGACATAAACACCATAAATACCAAACACAGTGCAAACAAACAAAATAAGGTAGAATATCATTTAATATTTACGAAAGTCAACACTTTAAATAAGCTGAATAATAAATAATTTTACTAAGGATATATTTTTTCATATTTCACATTGAACGCATAGGCCCCCTGAACGTGAACGCATAGGCAGGCTGACATTTGCCAACAAAGTGACACTTGGCGTATGAGTGACTTTATTAAAATCATTTTGTTAACAGAGAGGAGACTGTGAAATGCGCTCCGCAAACAAAACATGGAGGCGGCTCAGTAACAGTGAATTTCTTTGCAAATAATTACATTACGCCATTGTGATATGTTAACATCATAACATTATAACATAAATATTTACGTATATGCTACATTGTAGGCAAGTGCTTGTGAATGTGCGTGGGGCAGAGTGTGTTCAGTTAGCTTTGTTTCAATTAAACGACCATGTTTTGCTTGTCCGCAGCAATTCAATCGCATATGCTGGAGGCCAGTACTACGTGTAACAAACGGAAGGTTTACTATTTTTAGTCTTGCCTTGTTCGAACCGAGTTTTTTTCGTATCTACGACTATGTTTTGAAAGGTAGGTATGTAGCATTCAATATTTACATTTATTGTTTGTTATTGTGATGTTTTCAAAAACAATGTTCATGTATGGGCGAGGTTAAATGAGAATTGTTCATCTCTTTAAATGGCGGTGATTTTGATGTCCACCTACCTCGTTGCGCTCGTTTCGCTATGTATAATGCAAACAAATCGACAGACAGACAGACAGACACTGTTTAACAGCGTGATGACATCGCCGTGTATAGCAAATACAATTTTGTATAGCGCGAAGAATTGTGGTGAGAGACGCGCTTATGTATAGCCTGTGGTGTTTCCGGCACTTTGACACATTTCTGTTTGATATTTCGTCATGTTGAAGACACTTTATTAAGTTATGGTAAATACGTGTTGCAGTAAATTTTGCTGGTGTCTGAAACACGGTGTAAAGTGATTTATTAGTTGTCAAGTTTTAGTCAAGAGAAAAACAAAGGATTTAAAAGAAAATAATTTTGGGTTGAAATTAAAATGTTAATTACAATGACGTCAGGAAACCTATTTGCGTCCATGAACAAAAATAGACTTATTTCTGGAGGTATAATTATTTTGTTTTAACATGAGAAATGTATAAAGAAAGGGTAAAAAAGGTTTGTCATATTTACAAATAGTAAGACCTTACCTGGGATGATTGTGACATCCTCTTAGCGATGTATTGGCTTTTTCTATTATTTTTTTTTTTTTGGTAAACAAAATATGTAATACATGGGGTTTTCCAGAAATACCAGAAAAACTGCTTGTCTTTTACGGCAAACCATTGTTCGAGCCATTTTCCAACTTCGTCTCGAAATTGCTGAAGTGACACTCTGCAAGCGCATGGTCCATTGACGCAAAGAGGTAATTGAAGGATGTCCTATCCAAATGATTTGAAGGTGCATTTCACTGGTTTTGCTGTATGAAATGGCACATTGTTATGTAGCAAAATCATTTTGTCATGTCTTTTGGGCCCAGACTTCAGATTCTAGGTTATAAAGATCGCTGGCATCGTTTTTTAGCTAAATCAGAAAAAAGTTATGAATGCACGTAGTATTATGCTCTTAAACTAATCTCTTTCGACCCAATTATGGTAGAATAAACATTAACACTTTATGCAAAACTACGTTGGAAGACGCATCTAACGAAGAAATGCTAGGAAACTTACTTAAAGCTGAATAAAATATATTTTCTCATCGGCAGGCAATGTTAATATAAAACAAACTCTTCTTCTGTTATATAAGGAAATCCAAAAAATGCTGTGCTAAAAATCACATCAAATTATTAAAAGAATGTAATCAACCGAACAGCGTATTTATTTGCTATAATCCCAAAAATCCATGAACATTTTTCAACAAATATGATCAACTAAGAAGCGTACTCATCTTACATGATCTGAATAATCTATGAATTTATTGAATTTATTTATGAATTTATAATTTATTTGATGCATCCAATCCGTATTCAGGCCGATCCGTATTCAGGAGCATAAATTTGGGATGCCTGGTGATGTTGTCGATGCATTACGAATGTGTTCTTGTTGGTTTTTTGTAGTAGTTCGAGTTTTTATTCCATGTTATTGCAGTGCTTAAGTTAAACAGTAATTTAGCACTTTCAAAACCAAATCTTGCCACTTACAGTAAAAGCTTCGTATTATATCAGAAATTACGACTTCCATTGCTATCTTAATATTTCTTTCTCTGTCAATATTACTAAAAATTTAGTTAAATGACATATGTAAACAATTATTTTCACATCAGTTCCTTCTTTAACAACTGCTTTACTCACGGGTAATGCTCAACGGCGATTAATCAAGCAAACAATTCATATTATGAGAAACTATTAAGAATCGTTAAAAGAAGAAAAGCATTGCAGCATACTATTTAAAGATTATGAGGAATTTTCGAGAATGGAAGATGTGTAGAACTTGATGCCTAATAATAATGCCTAAACTCTGTGAAAAAATCGATCGCATCATACTTATCTGACAAGACCCCGATATTTGATGTAATTATAACAATTTTGATATAGGTCCTCGTTTGTCATATGTATCAAAAGAGTGTCGATTTTGTTTTGGAGTTTATCGGACTTATGTAGAGAAGCGGCGATCCGCATGTGTAAGCATGAATTAGGGATACCCTATGACTGTGTTCGATGTGCCATTTTTTTGTATCCCAAGCTTGGGTAAGAAGTAAGGTTTCACTACATGGTTCATCGATTGCGCATGTATATAATGGTGAAGGATCCATACTAAAAATACTAACATTATATTTAGAATGTGTGCTATTCCATTGAAACTAAAATAGAGTATTTAAAAAAGTGAATTACATTTAAATAACATTTTTAAAGAAATGTCTTTTCGTGAATATAAGTTGTAATTTAACGTCAAATTTTCCAGACGAAAGTGACTATTATTTTTAATAGCTAACTTGTTATATTTTATAAAGAGGTTTTTTTCGAACAGTAGTAAACTACAACAACAAAAATTTTATTTTTTTATATTATTTTAATTAATTGAATTTTTGGCTGACCATGCAACTGTTTCGAGTATTGCCAAATACCCATCATCAGTGGTCTTGGAAATAATTCTTGTATTTAATTATTCGTAAATAAAAACCTCTTTATAAAATGTGTTTTAGAAATTAGTTTTTTCGTAGCAAAGTAAGCTTTGATTTTGACATTCACACTTTCATACATAACAAATTTTTTTTTTTGTAAATTCTTACAAAAATTTTTATGTGATTATGATTTAACATATTTTCAGTACAATGGAGGGCGATGAAAGCACTGGGGGCGCTGGCGCCGCTGCCGGCAGTGGTTCTGGAAATGCAAATTCAGATATACCCCCGGGAATAACTGATGAGAAATCCATTCAAATGGCTAAGAAATTCCCACCGGGATATCTAAGCACTAGTAATGAACAAGATCTTGATCGAGAATTTCATAAGGCTATTGTCAAACTGCAATATAATGTTGACACATTCGGATTTCGTGAGAAAACTATTGCAACCGAATGGATGATAAAACTTCGGAACGTAATTGCGGAACCATGGGAGAAGATCGTAAGAAATCTATTCTTGGAATATTTTTCAAATTGCACTGGCGATGTATTTAAAAGTCCTCCATTTAACAAAAATTTACCGAGAGAAGCATTATTACAGAGTCACATACAAATGCTGGTATGTATATACAATAAAGATCATATACACAGTTGAAGCATTTAAAATGATTTTATTTATTTTAGCCATATCTAAAGGATTACTGGGATCAGAATGAAACTGAAGATGCTAGTAAAAAATTTCTTAAATTGGTTAAGGAGCTGTTTAGTATAAGCGAAGACTTTACACACTTCTTGTGTCAAATGCCTGTTCCTAGAGATGGCGCAATTTTCATTATGCGAGTATTCACAAACAAAAAACAGCCACTCAGCTGTTGTGCATGAAATCCGCCCCTATGTGCTTTCCACAACACTTCATGTATTCCTAATAAAGTCACTGTTTGTACAAAAATTTTATAAGACCTGAACTTTTATTTCTAAACCATAGCTAATGAGTGCCTTTTATGATATGGTGCTTATGATATTGACAATATTTTTAATTTTTGCTTGATAGATAAGTATTCGTAATAGGTAGAAAAAATAATTCAAAATTGAAAATTAATCTGAATTGATATTCTACTGGAATTAAAATTATGAAACTATTTAATTGACTGTTAGTTGAAATTAATAGAGAATTGTCGTTGATGTATATTATTCAACTAAATACTTGTCTGATGTAATTGCAGTCCTTAGAGGCACTTTAAACAACTGCAGCAATAACCACAAATACATTTCCAACATCAACTGGCACAATGTGGCTACTTAATAAAGTCCAAATAGGTACACGAAATACCTGTACATGTACTTCATGGTATTTATTTAGACCGCACCTCACCGCAGCACTTGTGGAAGGATGTCTTTTGAAGTGGTAGCTGCAAATTATGAGAGCTCCAACAGATACTGCACCAAAGACTGCGATGCACTTATGCAGTAGCGCAGTATTATATTCAGCCACTGTGTGTGACATATGAAGCACAAAGTGTCAATCCATCAATTCAAATATCCATTTGTGTGATGTCGCACTCTTTGATTATTTTCATAGCAATAGTTACGTATGCTAGTCTAAAATGGTAACGTTCAATATATGCACACAATATATGTACACACAAACAAATGTACATCAGTAATGACAAACGGATGTAAAGCATTTATTTGCATGTGCCTTGCAGTTATTTTCATGCCAGATATTAACACAGAATTGCGGAGGAATAGCACAACCAGCAGCCATCATCGGTACCACTCGATATGTGAA